GAACGTAAAAATTATCCAAGAAATAAACCTTTTATATTCTTTCAATCAGAATAAAATATATATATATATATATATGTACATATATATAAAAGTATGATAAAAACAAGATTTGTATAAGAATTAAGAAAATAATTAATTGTTTGTAGTTATAGGAAGCTCGCAGAAGACTGGGATCAGTCTTGTCATCGAGTACCTTTTAGACGTGTAATACACATAAAAATCAGTTGCATACGTGGCAAATATGTATGTGATACATATATGCCTAAAAATTATTAATGTTACTAACTCCTTTTAGTATTATTTTTGTTAATTTCTTTGAAAAGTTACATTTTTTGATTTATTAGGGTTGTTTTATATTATTTTAAATTTTTAAATTTTAAATTGGAGTTTAAAAAAACTCTTTGTAGTGGTTTAACTTGATTATTGTAGATTTTAACTTTCTTTTTAGGGACTGTTCGTTGTTTAAATTTATTAGCGATTCGTTTCTAGAAATTATTTTGTTAAATAAATAGGGACCACGATGTTTTATTGAAAACTTTGAGAGTTTAGTTTTTTCAAAGGGTATCTTAAAGTTTCCCGTTGCTCTTGTATTGTACTTGTTTACGTTGTTTTCAAAAAAGTGTGCTGTAAAATGTTCTGGAACCAGACTTAGTTTATATTTAAACATGAAAAGTATATTTTGATAAATATTAATTTGAAAAATATTTAAAGCGTTCATTTGCTCCAGTAGGGGTTGAGCATGAGTAAGTTTGTTTTTGTTGAACACTAGCCTTGAAGCGTGCTTTTGACGCAGATAAAGCGGTTTTAATTTAGTTATGTGGGTACTGCCCCATGCTATATTGGCATACATAAGATAGCTATGTATAAATGAAAAATAAACGAGTATTAGACTTTTTTGTGTCAAGAAAGATCTTGCTTTATAAAGTAGACCTATGTTCTTTGATATTTTTGTATTTATATAGTTGATGTGGGGCTTCCAAGAGATGTGTTCATCAATTAGAACACCTAAAAACTTTGTGTTTTGAGCTCTTTCAATGGATATATTTTCTATAGTAATTGTTGGTAGGTTAAGGGGAAGCTTTTTAATTTGTTGAGTAGAGTGGAATAGAATATATTTAGTTTTATCTATATTGAGTGATAGTTTGTTTGATTTAAACCATATATTAATTTTTTTTAATTCATTATTTGTTTTTTTAAACAAGTCTTCAATAGACTTTGATGAGTAAAATAAGTTTGTATCATCGGCAAAAATTATAGTTTTGAAAATATTAGAGGCATTTGGGAGATCGTTAATGTAAATAAGAAACAAAAGAGGAGCAAGAATGGACCCTTGGGGTACACCACATTTTGTTTTCAGTAAATTCGAGTTGCTTTTTTTATCTATAACAACACACTGGTGTCTGTCATTAAGGTAGTTTTTAAACCAAGTTAAAGCTTTATTTTTAACGCTATAATTTTCCATTTTTGTCAGTAAAATCTCATGGTTGACGGTGTCAAACGCCTTTGACAAATCAATAAAAATTCCTAACGTGAATTTTTTTTGTTTAAATGATTTACTAATTCTATTTGAGAGATCAAGGATTGCATGCTCTGTTGCGTGTCGCTTTTGGAAACCGTATTGACCTTTATTGATAATTTTATTAGTTTTTAAATATTCATTTAATTTATTGTAGATATTTCTTGATATTTAGTTTAAATAAAGTTATAAATTGCAAAAGTTCATCAAACAAAGACATATCAATATCTTCATTGTATTGTTAAACAATTTCTTTAACATTTTTCTTCAGCTTGCAATTATCGATGTTCACATTAATCAAAAGTCTAAAAGTTGAGTTGAGTTGAGTTGAGTTAGATTCTTGATATACAATCATACTTTTGTTCAAATTCTAAAATCATTCTTTTTGGACTTATTATAACACATTTTTCATGGTTTGGATCTTCAAAGAATTTTTTCATTGTTCGATGTTTAGTATTATATATAATCTGTATCAGGAAGCAAAATTTTAGCCTCGGCTTTAAAATCGTTGTCTTTCAAATTCTAAATGTAATCTGCCAGCGAAGACAGAAGTAAATAAGATGTATCATGTATCTAATATTATTTTTGAACCTTGTAAAGTTTTTGACACTGAGTTTATTCTTTTTATAATTGCATTCCAAAAAACCAGTGGCGGATTAAGATTTCTTGGGGCCCGAGGCTATTTTTGTTTTTGGAGGCCTTTTTACGGGCGAAAGCCTAAAAATGACTAAAAAAAATAAAGTCCTTTAAAATTTTTGGGGGCCCCCAAAAATTTTAGAGAACCTTTTTTTAGAGAAAACTGTTCGTACTGCAAATTTAAATTCTTCCACTTTTGATACAATATTCTGCGCTTCAGCTCTAGCAATTAATTCAAAATTTTGATCTTCCAAAACATCCGTGAAGGAACTCAAAATTTTGATCTTCCAAAACATCTGCGAAGGAACTCAAAATTTTGATTTTCCAAAACTAACGGGAAAGAACTCAAAATTTTAATCTTCCAAAACATCCGTAAAGGAACTCAAAATACTTTCAAACAGAACTTGATTTTGTATTCCATCTTGTTCTCAAAAGTGGTTTGACCATACAGGCTGATTTTTTTCAAGAACAGTCTATCTTTTTGTTGACGATAAAAAATAGTTGTAAATTTATTGAATGATGCCAAAATAATTTATAGTTTTTAGGCAAACATCAGCTAAACGAATTTAGTCGGCTTGTTGGGTATTTGACGCAGTTTAAGCTTTTCTGTGCCCTGTAGAATTGTCTTTTTAACAGTGAAACAGCATTTTTTCTGTCTCTAAAACCATTTGTAGCAAGAAAAAAATAGCTAATATTAAGAACCTTGCATACTAAGCAGTAAAGATTTCCTTTTGCTGGCGAATAAATTAACCATTTATGATCGTATTTTTCACTATTTGCTCATTGTCCTTTGAAAAAAGATTTTGAACCAAACTGATTGTAAAAAACTATTGTGATCCGTGGAATAAGTTCTGAATAGTTTTTGGTCCTTTTGACATCCGAAACAAAATATCGTCTTTAAAAAGATGATCACATATGCCAAATATGATCTTTTCAGTTGATGTTTAAATTACAGTTATCAGTGGTTAATTCAGGAGAACGCGTGATTTCTTTCAGTTGATGATCATTTTCTAAAACTGATTATTCTGTTTCAATAGAGCAATTTATGGGCTCTGTGCTTTCGACTTTCACCAAAATATGATCAAGTCTCTGGCTTTTTTTTATTTTCTTGTTCTTTTTCAGATTTTTATATACGCTTTTGAAATCCACTTTTAAGTAATTGATTCATTTTCTAAATAAAAATAGCTAAAGTAACAGGCTTGGTCGGGAAAATAATGCAATCATACTCTGTTACTGACCACGCGTATAATATTTAGTTGCCACATCTTGGCCATGGCTTGTTTAGATGTTTGAGAGCATTCAAGTTTATGTATTTTTCCATCTATGTCCGCATAACAGTAAGTTTTTAAATAAACGCTAAAAGAATTAACTTTATTTTTTACCTAGCAAATTTAACTATTATTCACATAAATTTAGGGGCCCTAAAAAATTGCGAGGTTTAAGGCCGCGACCTTGTTGGCCTAAATGTAAATCCAGGACTGTACATAATATACGCATAGGTTGGTATTGTGGTGTATATATACACATGATATACACATAGTCTGGTGTTGTGTGTACACACATAGGTAGGTTTTGTGGTTTATCCTTCTCTGGCTAAATGCCATATAGAGGCCACATACCCGAGCCAACGAAGACAAGTTCAACTCACTAAAGAGCATTATCACCCGCTTCGCTGAGTTTTCCAGAAGTAAATGAGTTTAGGAAGAACAAAGAAAATTAGAGAAAAATTCACAAGAAGTCGAGTTGGAAAAATAGCATCAATAAAGCGGACATATCGCGAGGTTAAAATTATTTTGTTTCATCTCCATGTTTTTCCGAACCGAAAAAATCAAGTTCAATGTTTTCTATAAACTTACAGACCAAATAACATAAAAAACGCAAACAAAACCGATTTGTATTAATTTCCTATACAGGCTACCTCAGTTTTAAATTTTCAGTTTAATGAACAAATAATATAAACACGTTATTTTGTCTACAAATCAATTCAACAGAGAAGATAAGTAATATATTATCTAAAGTATGTACCAAGATCTTCACAACAAAATAAAACTTTAGTTATAAGTTCAAAAGCATAACATCTAAAATACATTGCACAATAAAAAGATATCTTAAAGACTAATTAGTTAACCAGCATCTCTGGTTAGTCCATTAAAAAAATAACATTTCAGTAAGATAATATAACATTTCAGTATATTCAGTATATTTTAACGATAAAAAAAAATTATTTTAAAATACTCTTATAAAATGCAATATTTACAGCAGCCATATACTTGAATTGGCTTTATCATTTGAGCATCCTGATTCAAGTCAGAAAAGTCATGAATTAACAACGTTGTTAATTCAAGTCATGAATAAACAACGTTGTTAACTCATGCTTTTAAACAAACATTATAACATGATTTTCTGTAGTATACATGATCTGAGTGTTAGATGCTTTATCTAGATATAGGGAACAAGCTTAAAATTAAAAAAGCCTGCAATAGCTAAAAAATGTTTGAAATCCAATTTCTTCATTTAGTAAACAGAATTTTTTTTTTTTTAAGAGCAGAAGTTGCTCTGATTAAACTTAGGGGACTAAATATTTCAACAGGAGCGAGTGCTCTATCAATTTGACTGTTGATTTTTTCAACCTCTTGTATACTAAAATTCCCTGGTCTTAAACTTTTGTTAAATTACTCTAATTTTAGGATAACAATAAAATGTTTTGATTATGTGAGCAATAACATGTTTTAGCTTATAAGTTTTGCTGTTGTTTTTCTATCGGAAAAACATCCGGTACCATTTTGGCGTAAATAATTTTTAATTGGATAAACGGAGATAAAACATTATAATTTTAATTTTTAAACAGGATTAAAGAGATAGAACAAAATGCAATGTCAGCTATAGTAAGTTAATTTTTTTTTTGTTTACTGATTTATTTGTAAAAAATAAATATTTTATCCATAAAAAGAAAAAAGCTTAATTTAAAGATCTAACTTAATTTTTTTGATTTGTGTAGATTAAACAAAATAAATTTAACCTCGCGTTTACTCGGCAAAAAACTGATACGTGACCCCAAGGTGTTTGAAAATTGACCGGCTCAGTTGTTACGATTAGGACTCTACAGTCCAATATTAAACCCAGTGGAAACTATTTGGCCCAAAATAAAAATAAACGTTGAAAATTTTGTTCGCATTCCACCTGTATTCGGTGCTGGGATTATGGAACAACTAATCCAGTATTTAGAAAGAATTATTACTGCAGCAAAAAAAAAACAAACAAGGATGGGAGGTAATTGTACACACACTGTACAACATACAACCACGCATTACGCAATGATTTTAAATATAGAAGGCGTCCAAGTTGGTGCTTAACTAACTATTGTAATGACTTTTAATGACGTTTAAATTTAAATTTTAAATTTTTATGTAAATAAATTATTTGTGTTTTATTTATTATTTATCTGAAATTTCATTTAAATTTTCACAAACAAAAATAAAAGAAAGTTTCAATTGACACCCAATAGGATTTTTCCAGTTACCGCCTAAACCTCAAATGCCTTTTTCATGACTTTTTATATTTTATTGATATTATATTATTATTTTCAGCCTTAAATTACAAAGTATATTAGGACTCTAAAATTCAAAAAATAAAAAACTTTATATTCTTTATACTTTCCTAAATTACAACCATCATGTTCTCAATTACATTTTACGATTTCTTATCTACAACTTCAATTCTCAATTACATCTGACGTTTCTTAATTACAACTTTTATCTTCTAAATTCCATCTTACTTTTCTTAATTACAACATTCATCTTCTCCATTACATGTAACGTTTCTTAATTACAACTTTCAACTTCTCAGTTACATGTAACGTTTCTTAATTACAACTTTCAAGTTCTCAATTACATTAACGTTTTTAATTACAACTTTCAAGTTCTCAATTACATCTTGAAAAGGTGTAGAAAAAGTGTTTATTATAAACGCGTATTTAACTTAAGTGTATTATGTGTGTAGACTTAATAAATTAAATGTACCGCCACATTACTATTATAGTGTTTTTAATGGTAAGACTTTAGCTGTGCATATTAAAAGTTATATAGTTCGTTTCTTAAATTAAAATAAAGTTATACTATATATAATTTTATATAATTTAGTCAAATTAAATAAATTTAGTTTATTAAATTAAAATAAAAGTAAAAGTAAATAATTTGAGACATGCCTAGAAAATGTGTTCAGTAGGAAATTGTTGTGAAAACTATGATAGTACCGGGTGTCAAAGTTTACAAGTTTACAAAAAATAAAGAGTTATGTTTAAGATGTTTACCAGCTTTACCAAATTTATTTTTTGTGTATCTTATGTATATTTTTATAACCATTAAGATGAAATCTAAATTTTTCTACATTAAAATCACTTTTTTTTATGAACAAAAAAAGAATATAAAATTTCTCTGAAGACAGTTTAAATAAATTAAAAAAAAAATTCAAATTAATTCAAATTATAATTCTTCTTTTTGTTAGACAACTTTGTTAGACAATTTTTTTCAGATAACTTTTGTTAGACAACTTTGTTAGACAACTTTGTTAGACAACTTTGTTAGACAACTTTGTTAAACAACTTTGTTAGACAACTTTGTGGCTACAACTTTGTGGCTACAACTTTGTGGCGACAACTTTATGGCGGTAATTACTATATTTCAAAAGAGAAAGTTTAAAATAGTTTGCGTTTACAACGTTCAAAGTTGTTTAGTAGATTGGATGCTATGGATTTGCTATATTTCTTTATGTTCCGTTTTTTAATTAGATTGTTGTCACTTAGAACTGATTGAAGATTGTATTTATTATCTTGATGTATGTTTCGTCAATAGATGCCATTTCAGAAGAATAAAATGCTGTCCTGTATTATATTTCCGATATCCGACATAAGTTTGCTCTATGTATTTCCATTTCCAATACCTTTGACGCAAATGCATCTGAATTTATAGATTTGGTTTCCCATGGTCGGCTATATCATCTTTCTGAACATCTATTTCATTATGTCAGACATGCCGATTCTCTTTTCATTTTAATACTTAAAGCAAAGATATAATTTCAGTACGTTAAGTGCGTTTTAAAACATGTTTTGTATTTGTATGCAGCTTTTCCTTATGATTTAGAAAAATTATCGCCGATACCAGAGTTATTTCCACCATTTCAAATTGCTTCAACCAGGGTTTAACAAAATTGAATGGCTCAGACAAAGTATCTTTAAATATTGATGGCCACAAAATAAATAAAAATCTAGCTAAATAAAACAATGAATAAAATTGAAATGAAAACTTAGCATGTTCAGCACATTATTAGTAGGCTCTATAGAGAAGTTAAACTTAAATGTTTTTTTATAAAAAAATTAAAAATAAATAAATCATACCAATTATATTGTTTATGCATTTTGTTATTGTTAAAACTAATAAATGTTAACACCATTCAAAAAAGAACTTATAAAATGTAAAACGTGATTATGTGAAGTGTAAAACGGGAGTATTTGCTGAATCTTTAAAGTAATAAATTAACAAATTTAAAAAAATAATAATAATAATTAAGGAAACGCCTTATTTGTTTCAAGCACCTGAAAATACCTTTAACAGTCTCAAAAAAAAACTTTATGCTTTTAAAAACATTCATCAAAAGGTTTTTTTGCCCACTCGTCAAAATTACCATAAGACGAGGTTACTTTAATCCACTTTATTGCGATTTTTGGTTTTAACGATCAATTTTGCTCTATTTAAAATATTTTTACAATCTTTTTTTAAATTCAAATTATTGATAAAGATATCAACCTTTAATTCGAGCTAACTGATTTATAAAACAGATTAAAAACAGATATAGTTTTTAGTTTTTCAAAAAGCGGCCTAATATTAAATTAGGTTGGTCTTTCTTTAGGGCATTTATAATTGGAGTGCTGTTTTGTTTCATTTACATTCAAATTGCTTAAATAACTACTTTCATAATGTTAAGACAAATACTTACTTAAAATTTACTTAAGAAAATATCTCCAAATTGTTAAATCAAATATCCTTTGATTTATATAAAGAAAATAAAAAAGGAAAAAAACTTTGTATATTATATTAAATATTCTTTTTGTTCTGTAATAATAATAATAAACAATAACAAAATTGGTAGGTAGGTTATCTACACTATATAAATATTTAATGTTTAAAAATGATTTTTCAGTCAGATTTAAAGGCACGTAGCTTACACTGATATTCACTGTTAGATGTTGCATTAGAGATATAACATTTAACTTTTTTTTTATTTCTGGGATGCTTTTAGGGTATTTTTGACTGGTATAACATCTGATTCATCTGAGTCAAGATAGATTCCTTTTCCTGATAGAACATTTAATTTATGTATGTATGTATGTATGTATGTATGTATGTATGTATGTATGTATGTATGTATGTATGTATGTATGTATGTATGTATGTATGTATGTATGTATGTATGTATGTATGTATGTATGTATTTATGTATGTATGTAACTTGCATGACATAATTGCATCTATAGAATAACGAACATGTTTGCTCATGGAATTCTATGTTTTTATTTTTATTTATTTATTTTTTTTTTATTTTAGATGCTCCAAGAAGTCCTTACGGTCTTATCACAGAGCACCGCGGATGAGCATTTAATAGGAAGTTCACGCCTCCTTCCCAACCGATGTCGCTAAACTTGCCCAAAGGTGGGGTTTGAACCACGGATCCTTTGTTTCTGAGGCAAGTGCGCTTCCACTGCGCCACGGTTGCTCCTATAACTGTTAAACCTATAACTTCCACCTTTCTCTGAAATATGAGTTTAATTTTTTTTTGTCGACTAATTTTCTTTCTAGTGCCAAAAGTTCTTCGGTGGTAGTCACTTGTTTGGAATTTTTTACATCTTTATTGTCACTTTTTGATAGAAATGAAAGAATCTTTGATTGTCGTAATAAAAATGTCTATAAAAATCAGTATGGGTTTAGAAACAATCATTCAACAACTCATGCACTAATTGATATAACTGAAAAAATTAGAACAGCTTTGGACAATAAATTGTTTGCATGTGGTTTTGTTGATCTCCAGAAAGCCTTTGATACACTTGATCATTCCATTCTGATCAGAAAGTTGGAGTACTATAGTATCAGAGGCACAACACTCCAATGGTTTTTTTCTTATCTTCAAAATAGAACAAAATTTTTTTTTATTAATGGGATAGAATCTGAATTAATAAAATCACAAATGGCGTCCCACAAGGGTCTGTATTAGGACCCTTGCTTTTCCTTCTCTTTATTAATGATTTTAATACCTCTCTAAAATTTTCCACTGCTTACCACTTGTTAGTATATGCAGTGCGTTTTTTTTATAATGGAAATAAAACGAATATGAGACAGATAGAGCCTTTTTTCATCAAAAAAGCAAGGAAATTCTATTATTTTATTGTTGATAAATCGTGTACTTAGAGTTTTTTTGTCTCATATTTATATATGAATTCCTTTTATAAATCCAAAGTAAATTGTTTTTAAAGTAGAAGAATCCATCAACGAGAAACTTTACATTTACTTGTTAAAATTTTCTTATTATTACTGCTGTACTTGCTAACAATCTAGTTTCCGAAAGAGTTAATTAAACAAACTCTATTAAGAAAAAGGTTAAAAAGAAATTCATTCATTTTTTAAGGAGTTCGCGCGAAAATGTTTTTCAATAACGAGCAAATAGCGTTAAATAAAAAGCCTATAAATAACATGAGGTAAAAATAACATGAGATTATACAGAAATGAAAGCTCAATATTTCGCGACGTTAGAATTATCTTTTTCTATCTCCACTTTTAAAAAGGTTGGATTATTGATAGTTTATATACCTCAGAAAAATGTTTTTCTCCTGGTTTTTTTTAGGTTTCAATACAAGATATTGAAACCCAAATTAAAAGTAAAAAATATGGGGAGAAATATGCTGGGACGTAAAGATTTTATTTTTTAAATCGTTTTATCTCAAAATTTAAATAATAGAGATAGCGCAAGAAAATTCTAACGTCGTGATTTGCAGTTGAGTTAAGCATTTATTTCTATTATATTATGTGACAGCTTTTTTTAAAAAAACTGTTTGTGCCTGCTCGAAAACACTTTAAACACTTGAAAAGTACCAAAAAAACTTGTTTTTATTTTTTATTAACGTAATGACTAGATGGTCATCCATAAAGTAGGTAGACAGGTCTTGGGGTGTAGGGGTATTACATCCCAAAAACAGTGATTTTCAAGTTATAGCTGATTTTTTAACGAATTTAGTTGGCTAGTACGGTATATTACACATTTCAGTCGGGTAAATTTTAGTTATGAGGACCTTTTAATATTTTTTTTTTTTACAAAGCCAGTCAGTACTTTTTAAGAATTCACCTTCTTCCCCAATCCTCATTTTATTTTTAGAATCGCCTTTGA